GGTTTTTACAAATTGAAGTGGTTTTCATTTGATCGCTCCTCTATGTATGTATATACATATATATATTGGGTTTACGTGAAATCAGACTGTTTTCATGAAACCTGTGAAACCATTTTTTACACTTGTAACTTCATAGCAAAACGCTGTGAAAGTAAAAAGCCGAATCTTTACAGCAAAAACACCCTTCACAGCGTTTTGTTGTCAAGTTACAAGTGTAAAAAAATGATCTCAGAGGTTTCACAAAAACAGGTTGATGTCACGGGAACCCAACTCATATATATATATATATATATATATATATATATATATCATATAATGAGATTGTATCATGTATTAAAAATGTAAAAAAATAAGTATTAATGTATATGACCAGTAAATTAGTAGCAATGTAGAGGGATGTATTTAGTCCACTCTCTGAATAATACTAAAAAAAATGACTAGGAATATTACAGGGTCAGTTGGCTGTTGAGATGAAATTTATTTTATATCCATAAAAACATATTGTCGTCTTTTTTTATATATGTGAATTAGTGGTTTGAACGATAGAAATGACCATTTTTTACTTTTAAAACATATTTGATAAATTGTTTGTCTTTTTAAAGTTGAATGACAAATTATTTGAATATCAAAACGTAACGTCTTAAAGTTATTGATATTATGGAAACGTTATAGGAAGATAGGTTGTTTATTTGACATTTTATCGAACAATTTATGGATTATGTATAAATGATAACCCACCCCTTACGTAAGGAAAGATGAGCATTTAAAATACAACAAGAACGTCAAGTCTTCGAGCGTTTAGAGCAAGAACATCAAGAAAACATAAAACAAAAAGTAAACCGATATTATTCAATAAAAAGCCAAAAACGCATCTAGAAAATCATACCGGGTTTCTTGATTTCCGCTCTAATCTTTCTTCTTCGCCTCTTCAATTGATTTCCATTAACAATGACGGGTTTTGATGTGGATTTAGCTCTCGGCAAAAACACATTTAATTTTTGACTTTGAGGCATCTGGAAAACACATGTCCATATGAATATCCTGACTCCGAGGTGAAAACTGTATATGGTTTCTCAATTCATTTCACCACGCTGTAATTGATGAATATTGTATCGAGAAACAAACTATGTGGAGGAGGTGAAGGTGCACATCTCGAGGCTTATTCACATGTGTACGACGATTCAAAGGAAACATCTGAAGATTAATTCACATCGAGATGGGTAGAAAGTAGAAACCACATGTGGACGTCAATTCAAAAGAAGAGGCTTTGATTTGAGAGAGCGAATACTTAAGCCAACGTGTTTTTTTCACAAGGGTATGAAGGTCATTTCTATTGTTGAATGTTGGCAAGAGACCCCCTGCTTAGCTGGTCGGATAAGCCAATCATTTTTTTTCCACTAAAACCGGCAAGTAAACACTCGATGACTGTGTGAATAAACTCGTTAAGTCATTAAGCCAAGATAAGTTTTATGTCCTATACGTTCAAACCGAACAAAAAACTCAATTATGAAAAATCA